CAAAGGCCTGAGAAATTAGCAGATCGTGAGAGATTGGGATTCGGAGATTCTTATCTGGGTAATGTGGAAGCCCCTTCTCCAGCGCCCTTAGGTATTGACGTTGACTGGGTTACAATCCACAACACGTGGGTCACAGGATACCTAAGTTATACAGGAAACAGGTTACTACAGGCATTGGGTCTCTGTTTAGAGTCGCGACAGTTGCAGGCATATTTCGCCTACGTGATGCCTGGTGGGACTACAGCTACCTATTCAGATGCATAGCACACTCCGAAAGTAGTGGATCAATTTCAAATGTTCCATGCCTCTTTTCAGATCGGTTTCCGCTGTGAAAACGTTTCCAGTGCAATTTAGTTGGATTCAAAGTTGTCCCACTACACTATCAACTCCTCTTCTGAACTTTATTGCTCTCATCGAACGAGAAAGACTGGAACCACTCCCGATTATCTCTTTGAACCTGATAACAGTGCGTACAACGTATAACAGCGACGACAACGAAAGTACAAGTATCAATGAAGCAGCGAAAAACTCGTCCACTGATTGACTATTCTTATTCGCAGCATTAAGAGCAACATTCGAATTCTATAGATGCTATATAGCACGCGCTTCGTAACCGTTTTGTTTCTTAAGGGACGCTTTTAGTGGGCGGGGCATGCATTCCAAGCTTACATTCGCAGTGACATTCTGAATGAGTACGTGGCCTTACAGACAGTGACTTAAGGTGGAAATTGATTTACAGCCGGCGTTTTTATCTTCCCAGACAAGTTTCGTACAGTTAGAGTACTCTGAAAGGTGGGAGCCTAGCGGCTGCTCATCAGGGGTCCCATCCTTGGACCATGCGTATAATAGAGCGCCGCTTGGTAATGAACCAGTTACTCCCAAACAATGCACTGTAGTAGGTAATATAGGCAGGTACTTTGACTCGGATTCTTCGTTTTCTACGGAATATTTCGCATATTTCGAGTTAAATATGGTTGCATGGGATCCGCACAAGATTCGATTTTGCACCTTTCAAGTTTTTTATAACTAAATACATATAAATTAAATATAAATTATACAAATTTGCCTCAGCCATTTACTGTGGAGGGAAATCGATGTCCCCAGTGAATCGGTTTTCTTTGCAAAGCATAAAGCATCCGACACTACTCGAGTGAACTAGCTATTCCGTTCTCAGAAACAAATTGGCACAATCAAAAAGAACCAGTTCCTAATATGGATGTTCTTCTAAGCCATTTCATAAGAGCAATTCTTGCCTCTTACAGCGATACTCTTCTGGGCATCGTCCGAAGAAACAAAGGGCAAGAGAGGCTCTGAAGTAGAACCATTCCCTGTTGCTCTTCTAGGAAATCCATGTTTAAAGTCTTCAATGGCAGGGAGCCTCCTTTTCCCGCAGAAGTTAGTTATAATACTTTCAGTCGAAGGGTTAGGTAGCCCCTAGAGATGCTCAAATTCGGATAGAATCCTTTTTTCAATAGTGCTGATACGATGGGCAGAGGTAATTTAATGCCAAATGGCGCATCACCAGACGCATGAGCCAGGGATCGAAGTTCGGACTGATATCCAACCTGGCCATCGGAGCCCTCTACCCCCGTCGTCCACTGATTGTCACCAGAAGAGAAAGGCTCCCACTTGTTCGTTGGCTGACCACAGTCAGTCAATGTGTAGGTCACATACGCATTAAACCCTCCACGATCCTGTTTGATAGACGGATGCAGGACGCATCCCAGAGTGGTTTCAATCAAAGACTCTCAAAGAAAAATTCTCTACTTATCTTATTTAACCAGTATTATTCAGCGGCAGTGGTGAGTGCAACTATAAGGCATTGAAAAAAGTGTTTGGTAACCAAAAAAAAGGCGGTATTGCCTGATCCATAGTAAAGCAGGTTCGATTAGAGGCCTAAATTGTTCCAAGGTTGCATCAAAACCGCCTCCTGATGCCATTTCTGACTGCAATTAAACTTTTTTGATATAGCGACAACACAAGCAGACGCACATGCATGTTCAACTTCTCGATTCCAGCCGAGAGCCGCTTAAGCCAATCAAAGAAAAAGTCCTCTGAAAGGTCAGGAGAACTCGTCCGTCCTCCAATACTGTTTACTTATGAGTAATTATCAATTTTTTTTCNAAAAAAAAATTCGAACTAGTAGATACCACACTGCGTGGTTCCCTTCCCGTTGGAATTACCATACCGACTGACCTTAAAGAATAAGCTATCTTCAGACTTTTGAGGATAACGATCTAATCGCAAAGCCTCATCGATAAAAGGAACTTCACGCAAAACCTCTTTGCTACAAAGAATGGAATAAATGCAAACGATAAAGCAGCCACCTTCACCGGATACGCCATGCACTTGGCATCCAGACTGTAGGGATATGAGAATCAAACCGTGTGTACTAGTGCTAGAGTAGGCCCACTCTAAAAAAGGATACTTACTCACTCGAAAGTGAACCTGCTAATCAGTCCACATGGGTAAGCTCATGCGGCTATATGGGTGTTACCCTGCCCCCACCCCATTTTCGATCCCCACGTAGAGTGATCTACAAAGTAGAACGACCACAATGCCCTTTCAGTCCTAGACGTCCATGTTGGGTAGCCTTACTTATGTAGATTTTGACTCTTGAAAACTGGAACTTGTAGAATCTACTTGTAATTCGATCATATCGATAAGTTCAGGAGATTCCTGTCTCACGCGTAGAAACACAAGTCCCTGTTGCAGATAAGTGGGCAGCGACCCACCTGATCGCGGGCTAATTTCTTGGGAACGAACTTATGGGCCGATTCGAGGAGAAACACGACCGTGACGACTTAAAAGCATGTAGCGGATGCGAATTCGGAGATGGGAACTTCATTCGGGAAACTTCCGAAGAGATCGATCAATTCTTAATGTTCTTTCTGAAATATCGTTCCATAATGCATTTGTAGACAACTACTTAATAGATACGTGAGGGATTTGGAGACCTTAGGTTGAACTCCCAGGAGAGAATATGAAAAAGCGGGGAATTCTCCAGACAACTTCAACTCAATTCATTAATTTTGAATGCCATTAAACGAGAGACCGATTCTATTCAGATATTGTTCGATGTACTGGTTGCTGCCTTCAACCCAATGCCTTCCTTGCCTGAAGGATAGAACATTTTTAGATGAGAAATCTTACACCTTATGGTTAGCGATTTTGTCCTCCCAACCAGATGCGTCTGATACCACGGGCAGGTAGAAGGCTTGGTTATTCTGGGCGAGTATCGATCTGAAATTCGATCTCAAAACCATATTTCAGCTAGACAACAACTCCATAAATATGTATGCTTGCTATCGATAGCGAATTGTGTGGCTATAAATAGTAGCAGACAGAATGCAGACGACTTTTGCGATGTTTCTGCTAGTCATCAGTCACCGCTAGGCTTTCGGTGTCGATCATGTTGATCGCTGTGCGACATGCTTTTTAGCAATCTCCGACTGATTCAGACCGTAGATACCGGCGCCGTTTAAGGCGCGGCACATCCGGGATTAGCGCACGTTCCATCGCCCCGTAAATGGCCCCGACAACAACAACACCTGTCGAACGAGGGATCGTGATCAGGGACATCTGCACAATCGGTTTGGGGAGTCCTCGAGGGACTAATGTAAACGTGGCAAAAATCACATACAATAACCATAAAAGCACTGCGGCTAGGGTGTTGCTGGCTACTTTTCTGTCCAAATATGGAGGCGATCATCGAAATAGCTAACCTAAACATTTCACAAGAGATTTTCGGATCACAACTCAATTCTGCCCTTATACTTCTTATAAGCGGATCCAGTAAGTACTCCAAGGTAAAGACTTCCTCCAAAGAGCGAAAAACCCTTCACCTTAGTTTCCGTTTTTCCTCAAATGAAAGAAAGACAAGACGATATTGTTAGACAGTTGAATTCTCTCCTTCTGCCAGGCCCAGGAGCGCAACTACATAGACAATCCCTTTTGAGCCAACCCATTGTACCTCAGGTTACCTCCTTTAATCCCATTACCACTAACTATCGCTCTCCAACGGCTCTCTATTGGGTACCTCGAAAGAGCAGGTGATACCCTCATGGGTCGGTGCAGATGTATGGTTAATGTAATTCAATCGGGACATCTGGTTTGCTCACGCAAGGTGCTACCGATACACCTTCATCACGGCCATTAGCACGAATATTTGAGAGCCCATCCAGCTATAAACCTTTTTAAATGAGATTATATTTTCTACCTTGAACTCTAACCTCTACTTCTACTTGAC